CTCGCCCATATAGGTATTTTTAAAAACCTTCCCAAATGAATTCTAATATGCAGTCAAGACTGGGAATCATCAATACAGGAATGAATATAAACATGTTGCTAGAAGCAACAAAATAATACGAAGGCAACAATTTGTTTCCAGCTGAAATCAGCATCTTAAATCATTCGACCTACCAAAATTTTAAAAAATCATTTTCATTTTTAAAATTCTGTAACTGAGAAATTAAAATAACACCTCCAGGATTCTTATGCCCACAACTTTTTTTGTTTTGAAATTGGTATTATAATGTGTAATTATTTCACTTCACACTATTAAAAAGACATGTGGGTTCACATGATTATTGGTGTTTCAGAATTCAGTGCAGTAGTCCCCCTTTATCCACGGTTTCACTTTCCATGGTTTCCGCTACTTGCAGTCAACCACAATCCAAGAATATTAAATAAAAAATTCCAGAAATAAACAATTCATAAGTTTTAAATTGTGCATCACCTCACTTCGCCCAGCCTATGACATGAATCATCCCTTTGTCATGTATCCACACTGTAGATGCTACCTGCCTGTTAATCACTAAGTGACTGTCTCAGTTACCAGACTGACTATAGCAGTATTACAGCGCTTGTGTTCAAGTAACCCTCATTTTACTTAATAATGGCTCCAAAGTGTAAGAGCACAGATTCACATATGCCAAAGAGAGACTGTAAACTGCTTTCTTTAAGCGAAAAGGTGAAAGTTCTCAACTCAGTAAGAGAAAAAAAAAAAAAAAAAACAAACTCATGCTGACGTTGCTAAGATCTACGGAAAGATCTTTTTTTCTGCAAAACTGTGAAGAAGGAAAAAGAAAATTTGTGTTGGTTTTGCTGTCACACCTCAAGCTGCACAAGTTATGGCCACAGGGCATAACTTTTATTACACTATATTGTAATTATTCTATTTTATTATTAGCTATTGTTGTTAATCTCTTGCTTCTAATTTGTAAGTTAAACTTTCCCATAAAAATGTATTTATAGGGAAAACATAGTATATATAGGGTTCAGTACTATCTGTGGTTTCAGGCATTCATTAGAGGTCTTGAAACATATCCCCTGCAGATAAGGGGAATACTACTGTATTACTAAAAACTAAATTGTAGGCTGGGCGCGGTGGCTAATACCTGTAATCCCAGCACTTTGGGAGGCCGAGGTAGGCGGATTGCCTGAGCTCAGGAGTTCACGAACAGCCTGGGCAACACAGTGAAACCCCATCTCTACTAAAACAAAAAAAATTAGCCAGGCATGGCGGCGTGTGCCTATGGTCCCAGCTACTTGAGAGGCTGAGGCAGGAGAATTGCTTGAACCTGTGAGACAGAGGGTGCAGTCAGACAAGATCGTGCCACTGCATCCAGCCTGGGCGACAGAGCAAGACTCTGTCTCAAAAACAAACAAACAAACAAAAAACTAAATTGTAATGTGTTAGTCAAAAGAGACAAGGCTTAGTTAAGCCATATTCACTATACATGAGAACTGTTTTACTTGAATTAGTATGGTATTAGTCAGGTGTGGTGACGTGTGCCTGCAGTCCTAGCTACTTGGGAGGCTGAGGCGGGAGGATCACTTGAGCCCAGGAAGCAGAGATTACAGTGAGCCAAGATCATGCCACTGCACTTCAGCCTGGGTGACAGAGCAAGACCTTGTCTCAATTAAAAAAAAAAACAAAGGGCCACATGCGATGGCTCACGGCTATAATCCCAGAACTTTGGGAGGCTGATCACCTGAGGTGGGCAGATCACCTGAGGTCAGGAATTCAAAACCAGCCTGGCCAACATGGCAAAACCCTATCTCTACTAAAATACAAAAATTAGCCGGGCGTGGTGGTGGGTGCCTATGGTCCCAGCTACTTGGGACACTGAAGCAGAATTGCTTGAACCCACGAGGCGGACACTACAGTGAGCCGAGAACACATCACTGCACTCCAGCTTAGGAGACAGAGCAAGACTCCGTCTCCAAAAAAAAAAAAAAAAAAAAAAAAGAAAAGAAATTAGTATGGCTATAAATGTAGAATTCTAAATAAGTTTAATATAATATTTCATCATTCAGTACTAGTAAATTTGATATTATGGAACTGTTGCAGGCCTTACTTTCCATTTATTAATCATATGACTTTCAACAAATTCCATAAATCACTCCCAACATGACCACCACTGCTCTTCAGTTTGTTTTCATCTGCAAAATGAAACAGGAATGATTTGTCTGCTTCTATAGGGTGACTATAGGTATCAAGTGAAAAAATATACAAAAACATATTTTGAAAACTGTAATATGCCATTAAAACATAATGCATTATGGTTAAAGAAATTGGAAATGGGTTGGGCGCAGTGGCTCACGCCTGTAATCCCAGCACTTTGGGAGGCTGAGGCGGGTGGATCACAAGGTCAAGAGATCGAGACCATCCTGGCCAACATGGTGAAACTCCATCTCTACTAAAAATACAAAAATTAGCTGGGCGTGGTGACATGCTACTCGGGAGGCTGAGGCAAGAGAATAGCATAAACCCAGGAGGCAGAGGCTGCAAAAAGCCGAGATCGTACTGCTGCACTCCAGCCTGGCAACAGAGCAAGACTCCATCTCAAAAAAAAAAAAAAAAGAAAAGAAAAGAAAAGAAATTGGAAATTGGAAGCATACCTTATTATTCATCTGCTATATAAATGCAAACAAGAGTCCAATACAACTTTGTCATCAAAATTACAGTAGACAAAGCATGGCCACAAATTCTTTGACATTTTTCCCTTCAAAAGTGAGGGTTGGATGCTGGTCTGACTGCTCTAACCAACAGAGTATGTTGGAAATAATGTTGTGCCCATTTCTGGGTTCAGGCTTTTTGGGAGACACGCAGTTTCTACTTCCTGTCTCCTCAAACATGTATTCTTGGAACCTAACCGCCATACTGTTCACGTCAGAAGTTCAAGTCACGTAAAGAGGCTATGTGTAGGCATTCCAGTTAACATTTCCAGCTGAACTCCTAGCCAACATCAACTGCCTTCACATGAATTAGCCATTTTGGATGTCCAGACCAGCTGAGCTCTCGGATGACTCCAAACTCAGCTGCTTATCTGAATACAAACGCATTAAAGTCTAGGTGAGAACCACTTAGCTAAGTACAGGCAGGCCAGAGAAACAGGTGAGATACTAAATTATAGTTTTAAGCCATTGTGTTTTGGAGTGATTTGTTACGCAGCAATAGGTAACTGGGACAACAACAAGGTATTTTTTAAATGTTTCCTTAATTATTTCTAATTTTATTAGCAACACATCCTTGAAGACTTTTTTTTCCTTTCACTTCCGTAAATATGAGCGCATTTTCATGTAGAAAAGTTCAAAATAAAGTATAATGCTAGACTTACAAAAAAAATTTAATGTACTGGTTTTATTTTCCAATTGTCTTACTCAAAAGTCATTTTGATTATTTTCCATTATGTCCACGCTTTTTATTTTTAATTTTTTGAGACGCAGTTTTGCTCTTGTCACCCAGGCTGGAGTGCAATGGTGCAATCTCAGCTCACTGCAACCTCTGCCTCCCCGGTTCAAGCGATTCTCCTGCCTCAGCCCCCAGAGTAGCTGGGATTACAGGTGTGCGCCACCATGCCCAGCTAATTTTGTTTTTTAGTAGAGACCAGGTTTCGCCATGTTGGCCAGGCTGGTCTCGAACTCCTGACCTCAGGTGATCCACTCGCCTCGGCCTCGGAAAGTGCTGGCATTACAGACGTGAGCCACTGCGCCCAGCCACGTACACATTAATAAACAAATGCCCATAATGATTAATAAAGTCCAAGTAAATATATTAAAAAATGAAATGCTAAAAAAGTCACCTTTAAAACATTTTTGTTAGTTTTTCTTATACATTGTTTTCTAAAAAAAAACATGCCTATGTGCAAAATTTCATTAATGACAGGTGTGTGTGTATATATATATATTTTTTTACTACTACAGGGTCTTCACTGTCTCATATTAAAGATGCATCCAATGTGTCACAAGAAAAAGAATACCTATTTTAAGGCAGCCATATCAACATGATAAAGACATAACACAACCGATATCACCTTCCAGATATGCTTAATGGTCCAGGGATATGTTGTAAGGAGAAACTACCCAAATCCATCATGAATGACATTCACCAACGAATCTTAAACAGAATCGGCTGAAATGCAAAATCTGCTTACATGGCAAAGCCGCAGCAGAGCAAGCCTAAAACAGGAACACTTCCTTAACAAATAACCACTTGGCATTTTTAATGGCTGCAGCAAGATATTTACAAAACTAAGAATGCTTCGTAGATTCAGAAAAGGTAATATCCTTTAGATACAAATCCCTTTCATCTGAAACCCTCAGGTCTCTTAAATACTAAATTCCTTAGGCTCTGCAACAACTCCGTGTCAGGTAAATATTTTTTTAGTGATTAAGTGACTTGTTCAAGGTCACAGAATGAACTGGAGGCAAGAAATAAACCCAGGAGGGTGGTCTGCAGCTTTCTATATAAATGCACATCACTGCAAGTAAGGATTCTGATAATTTCCAAGGTGGAGTGGCGGTGAAATTAACTTGTCCCACAACTCTAGGTTGGAAGGCACTTTTTAGGGGAAAAAAAAAAAAAAAAAAAAGCTTCTATTTGAGGCAGTCATAGTTTTAACTCTGATAAGCTTATAGGGTCTTTAAACTCCAACTTCACTAAAATGAAGTGTGACTAGGGAAGAGGAGAAACTGGGAAACAGTTTTAGGAGCTGTAGTAAGGCCTGGGATTGTAGGCAGATTGCAGAGAGTAAAATAAAAAAAATAAAAAAAAAACCAAAAACAAAAAACCGGAAGCAAGAGGAAAGAGGTCAAAGTCGGGTATAAGTGTCCAAGAGAACGGAAGAATGGTCAAAGCCACCTTTTAAAACCGAAAAACCGCACGAAACTCGCTTGGCAATCCTACATGGGTGGCGTAAAAGACTCAAGGTTGGGCCCTTCCTCTCCACAAGCCGGTTCTACCTTTCGGAGTTGTCCCACTCCTCTCCGCGGACAGGGCTTGTCTCCCGGGTGACCAGCAGCTGGTGGAAGGAGAGGGGGTTCACAGCGGACGACTTCCCAGAGGACAGGTGCCAGGGCCCAAGACCCGCACTCACCGTGACGCCCGGCGCGCTTCACTAACGCCAGCCTTCTCGCCAAACGCCCATCTCCCAAGAACTCGAGGGAGAATTAGCCTTGGCTATCAGGACGGAAGCCAGCCCAGCTCATCCCCTTTTCCCGATTTGCATTGCGAGGCGACGCGTCGCGTCTCCAGACGTCACGGTAGGGGCTGGGCTTCGCGTGCGCTCCTTGACTTCTCTCTTCCACCGCCCTCCCCCTTTCGGTGAGGGCCGAGCGGCGGGGCGAGGGAGGGTCGAAGAAGAGTCGAGGAGGACGTTATGGGTGGGCGGCGGCGGCAAGGGCGGGATTTCTCTGAGCCGGATCAACACAGTCGGCCGGTTCCGTACCCCCCGCACTGCACCCTGCACTTCCGGGTTGCAACCGGGCGGTAGCCAAGCCTGGGCCTTGTGGAAGAAGCGAGGTTGCTCTTGCGTCCCTTTACTACGTTATTTTCCTCCTCAGATTGGAAATTAGAAAAAACTTAAAAGGGGATTTAGCGCCCCTCTATTTCTGTCTTAACATTCTCTGAAGCCAAGCCTTTCTTTGGTCAAAGAAAAACAGGTATTGTCCTAAAACATATTTTATGTACAATTTTTAACGTCATTTAAAAGGCCCCGTCGAGGCCGGGCACGGTGGCTCACGCCTGTAATCCCAGCACTTCGGGAGGCCGAGGCGGGCAAATCATGAGGTTAGGAGTTCGAGACCAGTGTGGCCAATATGGTGAACCCCCCACCCCCCCATCTCTATTAAGAATACAAAAAAATTAGCTTGGCGTGGTGGCGCGCGCCTGTAATTCCAGCTACTCCAGTGGCTGAGGCAGGAGAACCGCTTAAACCCGGGGAGAGGAGGTTGCAGTGAGCCGAGATCGTGCTACTGCACTCCAGCCTGGGCAGCAGAGCAAGACTCCCTCTGGTTAGGGGAAGGCCGGTCTAACAGAAACGAAATGAGAGGTCTGAACTTTCTCGCGAGCTGATCTTTGTACTCTCTTAGAGAAAGGTGATTGGATGCTCCGGTTACCTGTAAACATAAAATTGATTTGGGTGGAGCTTTAGGCAGTAGTCACTAAGGCCTCAGGAACACTCCAGGTGTCTTAGGGGTGGGAAATCTGGCCAGCAAGATCTAGTAGACGCTTTTAAGTGAAAGTGTGTGCCACATTGTACAGTGTACACTGCTCGGGTGATGGGTGCACCAAAATCTCAGAAATGACCACTAAAAAACTTTTCCATGCAACCTGTTACCCCAAAACTACTGAAATAAATTTTTTTTTTAAAAAAAGGATAAAATAAAGTGTGTTCAATGAATTTGTAATGAAGGCCAGTTTCAGTGACCCAGGCCTGTAATCCCAGCACTTTGGGAGGCTGAGGCAGGAGGATCCCTTGATCCCAAGAGACAGAGACCAGCTTGAGCAACAAAGGGAGACCCCCATCTCTACAAAAAAAAATTTAAAAATTAAGCTGAGTGCGGTGGCTCACGCCCGTAATCCCAGCACTTTGGGAGGCCGAGGTGGGCAGATCACTTGAGGTCAGGAGTTTGAGACCAGCTTGGCCAAAATGGTAAAACCTCGTCTCTACTAAAAATACAAACATTAGCTGGGCGTGGTGGTGCGCACCTGTAATCCCAGCTACTCAGGAGGCTGAGGCAGGTGAATCGACTGAACCAGGAAGGTGTAGGTTAGATCATGCCACTGCACTCCAGCCTGGGCAACAGAGCGAGACTCCACCAAAAAAAAAAAAAAAAAAATCTAAGTTACAAATAGCATTTCCGTTTTCCATAGAATCTAAAACTCCCCAAAATTTCTATGAACTACAGCAGTATTTTCTCCACTTGGTAAGAGACATAAGGACAGCTTAACTACCCTTCTTTATCCAAACTAAGTTAAGAACAGAACCCAGGTTTCCTGATTCCCACTCCCCAGTAAAACTAAATAGGTTTTATGTATGTTGCAGCTGTTGCACCCTTTTCCTCTTTGAAATAAAACTTTTCTATTTGGTTGGGGAAAGAAAACATGACTGAAAGTCCAAAGTGTTAGCTTAGAGCTCAAAACACTAGCTGCTGTTTCAAGGTCCAGTCTCCATGTGGACGGCTCATGGCCTGTTTAAATTGTTGCCATGAGGAAATGGGGCAGAGTGTTGCCAATTTTCTGATTTTCTGTGCGTGGGAAAAATCTCCCAACTGCTTTTTAAATTTGGGGAATATTTTATATATATGTGTGTGTGTGTATATGTATGTCAACTAACGTAATCCATATACACATGGATTGTTAGTTGACAACAACAGTATACATAAAAAAATTTACAAACACTGCAAAACAAATAAAATCCAAGCCATCCATTTGTGACCACAGTCATAAGCATTAACTTAGCCAGGGGCTTTCAGATAATTCTCTGTTAAAGAGGAAGTCTGAGAAAAGACGAAGATAACCAAATGAACATAATGTCAAAGAATGAAATCATGGGAACAATTTGGATTTTGTTCCAAAGTCAAGTGTTTTTTAAATAATCTTTCCATACTTCATGTTTTGTTCTATAGAGTTCAACCTTTTAACTTCCATGGCCCTTTAGATCTCTTTTGAGCACATTCCATGATTTTTCTCCAGATCATACTCCCTCCACAAAACCTTTTTCGGCTGGGTGTAGGGGCTCACAGTTGTAACCCCAGCACTATGGGAGGCTGAGGTGCATGGATTGCTTGAGGTCAGGAGTTTTGAGACCAGCCTGGGCAACATAGCAAGATCCTATCCCTACAAAATATTAAAAAATTAGCCGGGCACGGTTGGTGCATGCCTGTAGTCCAAGCTACTTGAGAGGCTGAGACAGGAGGATTGGTTGCGTCCAGGAGTTTGAGGCTTCAGTGAGCTATGATTCCGCCACTGAACTCCATCCTGGGTAATGGAGTGAAGACCCTGTCTCTTTGAAAAGAAAATAATAATAATTAATTTTTAAAAACCCCTTTTTCATTTCCCAACCTTTTTTTGGCTACTATGATCTCTAAGTGTTACTTCACATAATTTCCAGTGAATCCACACTTGATGTTGCAGAGCCTGAGTTTGCTGCAGAAATATAATTTCCCACACTCCATGCCTAAAGGGGATTCAGAGCTATCACTTTAAACCAAAAGTATTGATTTTTTTTTTTTTTTTTGAGACGGAGTCTGGCTCTGTCGCCCAGGCTGGAGTGCAGTGGCCGGATCTCAGCTCACTGCAAGCTCTGCCTCCCGGGTTTACGCCATTCTCCTGCCTCAGCCTCCCGAGTAGCTGGGACTACAGGCACCCGCCACCTCGCCCGGCTAATTTTTTGTATTTTTTAGTAGAGACGGGGTTTCACCGTGTTCGCCAGGATGGTCTCGATCTCCTGACCTTGTGATCCGCCCATCTCGGCCTCCCAAAGTGCTGGGATCACAGGCTTGAGCCACCGTGCCCGGCCAAAAGTATTGATTTTTAAAGCTGCTTAGACAACAAAGTCAGGAAAGGTACTCTAAATGTTTAACAGCAATCATCTTTGGGGTATGGGCATCTTGGTAGGTACAGTGTGGTGAACATCCGTATTTTACTTTATCCACCTGAGAGACTATTTGAACTTGTTACACTGAATGTGTATTACTTTTATAATAAAAAATCATTAAGATTTAAAACAACGTATTTGACTAGTAAAAAGCACATTATATAAATCGGTTTAATAATAGTGTTAAGGAGGCCATTTAGCAATGATTTGACCGAATCCATATCAAAGTTTGATTGAATTTTTTGGAAATCAGATATTGTGTTACTCTCTGCCCTGTTCTCTGTGAAGTCTTTTCTTTAAACAACTACAGACTTATCCGAACAGTAGTTCACAAAACTTTGTTGTCCTCTTCCTCCGTAGAAATTAAAACCAAATATATATAATTAAGAAATTATCATAATACTCTTCATTCCTATAAAAATAATTAAGATAGACCTATAGGATTGTTGAGCATGGCTGCTAAATATAGTAACTAGTAACCACAGCTAGTTGTAAAATTAAAAATTCAGTTCAGTCAAAGTAGCCATATTTCAAGTGCTCAATAGCCACTGGTAGCCCAGCAGATATAAGCTATTTCCATTAGTAAAGAAAGCTCTAATGGACAGCACTGGACTAGGGCATGTATTCTGTATTTTTCCCCTCACCCACCATCCAATAATGAATAATAGTTCAGAGTAAAAGTGGGAAAAAATGTGTATTGTAACCAACCAGGCAGCAGTATCTGTGGCATCTAGAATCTAAGTGGTCATCAGCTGTTTAGAGGCATGGCCTGTATTTGATCATAGCTTTAATTTACATGCTATCCAGCATAAGTAGTAGTACAAAATCTGGTTCATCTTCCAATCATTTAACAAGTACTTGCTGAATGCATGTTCTATGCCAGGCATTGTTTTAGATTTACAATATAAAATTCCTGCTCAACACAGAGCTGACTTACATTCTAGTCAAGGAGACATACAATAAGCAAATATGCATATAGTATGTGAAGTGCTAGAAGTGTTAGAAGAAAAATAAAACAGGATAAAGGACTAGCAAGGACAGTGGTTTTTGTTTGTGGGTTTTTTTTGTTGTTGTTGTTGTTGTTTGAGACAGGGTCTTGCTCTGTTGTCCAGGCTGGAGTACAGTGGCATGTTCATGGCTCACTGCAGCTTCGATCTCCCAGGCTCAAGTGACCCTCCCACCTCAGCCTCTCTAGTAGCTAGGACTATAGGCATGCACCACTATCCCCAACTAGTTTTTGTATTTTTTGTAGAGATGGGGTTTTAGCTTGTCATCCAGGCTGGTCTTGAACTCCTGGCTGAAGTGATCCCCCCGCCTAGGTATCCCAAAGTGCTGGGATTACAGGTGTGAGCCCCTGTGCCCAGCCAACAGTGATTGTGTGTGTGTGTGTCTGTGTGTGTGTTTTGGCACTAAGATTTTTATTTACCCACCTTATTGCTTTCTTTAAACATTTGTATAAACATTATAAGCCAAATTATTCTCTGGGGTTGTGATAGAAACCATCTTGTTACAAATGGTGGCAGATCTATGCCTGCTTTTACATTTTAATGGCCCCTCTCAACCTCTAGCTGTTACTTCTCTG